TAAACATGCATGGTCCCTTTGATGTTTTGGCTCGATGAACGTGCAATTCTTAACACGTTAGTACCGTTATTTACAACAACAAATAACGCTTTCCATTTTTTTAACAGGTACTGCCTGACCGTAAAGAAAAGCAGAACGAATTGTCTTCCAAGAAAGTGTTAAAAATAACAATAAAAGTACTGCCACGGTCTTTAACAAGGATATGCAGCCAACTCATTTGTGTGTCTGTCATTTATTCAGTATATACCAAACCTATGGTAAGTTTATTTTTTGCAGAACACAGTCGAAAAATCGGGTCTTCATGCAATTTTCCATTGTTTTGAACGGGTTATTATATTAGACAAGTTTTAAGAACAGGTCGTTGAGGTGGAACAGAAGATCATTATGAGAAATAGTAACCTACTGTTTCAATTCAGTGGCCATAATAATAACCTGCTCGTCCTAAAACTATGGAAAAGTACGCGCTCGGTCATTATTCTTAATAAAATCTCGAGGCTCAACGATTAAGTTAGATTTCTTTTCATGTTGCATCTTTCTTTCCAATAATTTTAATGTAAATTTTTGGGCACTTTGACAATTCTGGTTTGGTATGTACACCAAGACAACATGTTAAACTTAGTTATAAATTAAACCAATTCAGGCCTCACCCCCCAAAAAACATCACAATCTAAAAGAAGTTTACTCTTTTGAACTCAGTAAAGCAAGTACAGTTTCGTAGACAAAACGGAACCTTACAAGAAGCTAAATTACTAAGCGTAAACCAACAACAAAAAAAAACACCACGAGTGATACAACAAAAAAAGTAGTCAAAAGGCCGCCACAAACCTTTTAAAAGTACAGAACAGACGACAAAAGGTAGGTAAAAAAGGTAAGTATCAAGGTAAGTTTATTTATATTGTATTTTTTCGGAGAGCCCTGGGGACTAAGTGCTCCGCCCGGAGGGGGGAGAGCCCTGGGGACTAAGTGCTCCGCCCGGAGGGGGGAGAGCCCTGGGGACTAAGTGCTCCGCCCGGAGGGGGGAGAGCCCTGGGGACTAAGTGCTCCGCCCGGAGGGGGGAGAGCCCTGGGGACTAAGTGCTCCGCCCGGAGGGGGGAGAGCCCTGGGGACTAAGTGCTCCGCCCGGAGGGGGGAGAGCCCTGGGGACTAAGTGCTCCGCCCGGAGGGGGGAGAGCCCTGGGGACTAAGTGCTCCGCCCGGAGGGGAGAGCCCTGGGGACTAAGTGCTCCGCCCGGAGGGGAGAGCCCTGGGGACTAAGTGCTCCGCCCGGAGGGGGGAGAGCCCTGGGGACTAAGTGCTCCGCCCGGAGGGGGGAGAGCCCTGGGGACTAAGTGCTCCGCCCGGAGGGGGGAGAGCCCTGGGGACTAAGTGCTCCGCCCGGAGGGGGGAGAGCCCTGGGGACTAAGTGCTCCGCCCGGAGGGGGGAGAGCCCTGGGGACTAAGTGCTTCGGATAAGCGCCTAACCTCGGATTAGCGTTTACCTGGAATAAGCGCCCATCTAACTTCGTCCCCAGGGCTTTTCCTTCAAAAAATGGGTACTGGGACGGGGACGAGGTTGGCGCCGATCCTAAAGGCAGATAAACTAATAGACACTCATCCTCGAATAAGCGCCCTCCTTACCCCAACCCACCTCCGTCCCACTCCCACTTAAACTGAAATAAGCGCCTACCCCCTTTTCCCTACCACCCCCCAAAAATGGAATAATTACTAATAAGAGACTTCCCTAAGACGGAGTTTTCTTCAGAATGTTTTTCAGAAATCTTTCTTTGTTACATCTTTGGGTTTTGTTATTACCATTTACTGTTTTATTGCAAAATATACATAGTACATTTGTTAAAATTGGTGAAAATTTAATTAGCGTCCAGCCTCGAATAAGCGCCCACTCTCAAGGTCCAAAAATTGAATTAGCGCTCAGGGCGGTCAATCGAATAAATACGGTAGCTATATTTGTCTCCCCTTTCCTGAAATTTATTTTTTCTCGAAAGAAACTTAATATTGCACTATCTTATATTATTGGACCTCTCTTTTGGGCTTTTAAACACAGACTACAACGCCTCATAGCTGCAGTGAAAACTTTAGGCCTTTGTCCACCCACCCCTCCCCAATTGTAATCAACAACAACAACAACAACAAGTTTATTCAGTATTACCATTTTGTACAGGTGTTACCGATTAAAATAACAATAATAAACAGCTAAGTTTAAGGAAATACAGGTATGATGGAATAGTAGAATTAACTATGTTTCTTTCGTCTTTCAAATGCTTGAAACATGAAATTAGCAGCTAGCCTGCTGATATGTGAATCAGTATTGTTAAAAAGAAAACAGACTTTATCATGGATATTGTAGTGTGTAAATAATGTATTTCGGTCGTTGATTTTAATAAAAAGAGTCTTTCTCAAATCATTGTATTGATCACAGTGAAATAATATGTGCAGTTCATTTTCAACCGAATTTTGGCTGCAATGATCACAGATTCTAAGGTCTTCAGGAGTTTTGGGGATTGTAAATCTTCCAGTTTCTATTTTTAAATTATGATTTCCTATCCTAAATTTGGAAGCTACACGCCTGTGTTCAGGATTCCGGATATGATTGATGAATTCAGAGTGATTTGTTTCATTTTTAAAGATGGAGTAGAATTTTAGTTTTTTATTTGTTCTGATCAAATTTAGCTGGTGGTTTTTCAGATGTTTTGACAAAGTATTCTCAGCTTTGGATAGGAAAGTAGAAGGGTTTTTAAAGTTAACTGACTGTTTGTGAATATTAAGTTGTGTACTCAAAAGATTTATTTTATTTATTAGACCTGATTTATTTTCTTCGGCCATTTTATCCGATATGTTTAAGCAGAGTTTAGCGATGCTGTCAGGGGGTTGATTTTCAAGGTGAATCCAAAATTTGAAAATGTTCATTGTTATTTGTAAGTTTAGAGATAATCTACCACGCTCATTTCTCGATGCAACATTCGGTGAACGTTTGTTTAAACCTAAACACATCTTACAAAAATGTATACGCGTTTTCTCAATCAAGTCTTTATCCCAGCGGCTATAATCACTTTTATCATAGATTCCCCAAACTTCAGAGCAATACGTTAAAATTGGGAAAAATAGTGTATTGAACAGTTTGTTGATGATGTGAATTGGTAATTTTAGAAAATCTAGATAACGACGAGCGGCAAAAAAGGATCTCTTTGTTTTTTCTGTTAAGTTTTCCTTGTGATTTGTAAAATTTCCATTGGCTGAAAATTTCACTCCAAGATAGGTATAGTTATTGACGATTTCAATGTTTTCATTGCTAACCATAAAATTGTGTTTATCTATTGCTGATTTTCTACTTTTCTTTTGAAATACAATAACTTTGGTTTTAGTTGGATTAATCTTAAGAAGCCAATCCTGACAATATTTTGATAGTCTGTCAAGACTTTGTTGCAAACCTTCTGCCGAGGTAGATATTAGAAGTAAGTCATCGGCATAAAGTAGACAGTTGAAGTGAGAACCATCTGGTAGTAAGATAGAATCTTTAGCATTGTTATTTAGAATGAGGGGTAGTTCGTTTAGATAAAGGTTAAATAGAAGCGGCGACAGAATACAGCCTTGTCGTACACCTTTATCATAGTTGAAAAATTCTGATCGAGTATAATTGTCTTTCACACAACATATTGAATTTGAATACATGCTGGAAATTATTTTGTAAAAGGAGCCACCTATGTTATATTTCAACAGTTTGTATAGTAAACCTTGGTGCCAAATTGAGTCAAATGCCTTTTTAAAATCAACAAAATAAGTATAAAGTTTACCTCTGGGGGAGTGGGTAACATGTTGGTCTATTAATGTTCTTAAACTAAAGATATGTTCGGACGCACGATGTCCGGGCACAAAGCCAATTTGGGAGCGATGAAGTATTTTATGATTGTTTGAAAAGTTTAATAATCTCGTATTTAAAATAGAACAAAAGACTTTGCCAAGACAACTATTAATGCAAATACCTCTGTAATTTGAAGGGTCATCTTTGTTTCCAGATTTATGTAAGGCAGTGATTATTCCATTACTCCATGATGTAGGAAATGTTCCAGATTGTAGAATCAGATTAAAAAGTTTCTCAAGTGGATATTTTACAAAGCTTGAGCTTGTTTTAATCATTTCATTGCGTATTCCATCAAGTCCAGCGGCCTTCTTGTTTTTTAGTTTTTTAATTGCTTTATCAATCTCTTCAATGGATATTGGGTTGTCTAATTCCTATTGTAAATGGTTGCTGTCCTCCAAACGCTTTTTATCGTTTAACATGTGTATTTGAAATGCCGATAATGTATTAGGATCAGGTGCTGAGTGTAGCATTTTAAAATGATCATAAAGTTTATTGGTCGGGTTTTCGTTATTATTATAAGACAAGATGTTTTCGTTCATTGACTTTAGAGTATCCCAAAATTTGCGGTTATTTTCGTTACTAATCAGCTCATTTATTTTAGAGTCAACAAATTGTTGTTTTTTTTGTTTTATAAGTTTTTTAAAGGTTTTATTTTGAACATGATATTCTTTTCTGAGTTCGGTATCCAGAGGATTGCGGTGTTTTTTGTTAGATAACTTTTTAAGTGAAGATCTTAACGTTTTGCAATCATAATCAAACCACTTCTTAGTAATTGGCTTTCTTTTAGATTTCTTTTGGCTACTTAATTTGAGTGAACGTTTTGCGGCCTCAGTCATAATGTTTGTGAATTGATTGGTAGCATTTTCAACATCTGTACTGCTTAAATCGAAGTTTGTACTTTCGAAGAGATGTAATAAAGACAGAATAGCGTCGGAACGAAAGGCAGTAGTGAATTTTGCTGCAGACGTTTCGTCCCAGACATACTGTTGTGGAAGCTTAACGTTAATCTAGCCTGCTAGCAAGCTCTCCTGTTTGGGCGAGTAAAACGGTTTTGCTCGCAGGCTAAACGTTAATCATGAACTGTCAGAAGGCGCGCATTCCTTGAAAAGAACAATGCACTGCGGCGCCACTGCCCTAAATCCAAACTGCGAAGGAATGCGTGACATGTACATAAAAATGCAAACAAATAGAACATCTACTTTCCTTCTTACATAAATTTGTGTTGCTTGGTTGGGTTGATGACATATAGACATGAATCACATGCACGTCTTGGTGAGATATTGGGCACAAAATTCGCATAATCGAGCCAGTCGTGTGTGGAAATGATCTTGACAACGCAACAGGTTGTCTGAAAGAAGGAACACATGAGACATGAATTTAGAAAGCTCTGTTTTCAGCTGGAAACTTGTGCGGTCTGAAATGAAGACTAATCCTGAACCAATACGCTGAACAAAAAAGCGAACAGCTTTGGAAACAAACGATGGAGAGAGACTTAAGAACTTTGAGGCGATCGAAGGTAAGAGTTTAATAAACCAACTGCGCGTAAAATATGTTTGTTATTGACCGGCTAGCGTTAATGCCCATCTCTTGAGTTGATGCCTTGAAAGAACATTTCAGCCTGTGATTTAATATGTTCCTAGGCTACGGCTGGAGCCGTGAGTTAATTAATACTGCCGCTCTCTTGCCTTCTCATCTATCGAGGTTTGGTTTCCGTTTTTGAGGGCACTGTTTGTGTAACCTAATATAAGTTCACAAGAACGTCGATTACCTCTATACGGCTAGTGTTTCAATGCGAAAGATAACTTTGACATTTTGATGTCGAGAAGCAGACAGTGGTAAGGCAATGGCGTGATGTTGACAAAGCTAGTCAAAAGTCAAATAAATTAATAATTTGTCGCTGATATGTTGTTTGTGCTATAAAGTTGATAGCTTACTGTCTAAACACTGTAATTAGGTAATTATTAATAACTCAGTCTACTGTTCTGAATATTATCTGATTGCTCGAGTCCCCAAACTCTGCTTTCCTCATTCCTTTTCCTAATATACTCAGATACTCTGAGATCTATGAAAGTAAAGTTAACTTATCAATAACTGTCCTCTTGAAAAACTTGAAAACATATAATATATGATTACAGTAATTCCAAAAATCAAAAAAGTTAGATGAAATTGCTTGTTCTCTTATGCATTATTGTGTGTTTTCAATGTCTTCTGTTGTACTTTTTTTCCTGGAGACAATGGGCTTAGAGAGCTATTACATTCAGTATTGTTTTGAATAAACTTGCCGCAACAGACTTAAGTATAAAATTATATTTATTAATCTTATAGAAACATGACAATTTTTGCATTTTTTTTATAAATTTTAACAGCATAGGATCTAAACAATTTTTGTCTTTTACCGATTTTATTTCAATTTGTCAGTCCACTGTGGACTCTTTATACAATGGTTGTTTATTGCAAATATTAAGCTCATTGTTCAAGGTTTTTTTGTCATTTAAGTTAACTTTTTGTACATGCAGAACAATAAATTCTTCTGAATCAGTACTGTGGATGATGTGATGATCATCATCATGAGGAATCATGATGATGATGAGTACCCGCCACCTTTTTTCAGTCTTTATCCTGAGAGAGCCTGTATTTTTTTCTTAAAGACCTGACCATTTTCAAAGACACCCTAAGTTTTTCCAAAGATGTTTCCAATATAATTTGCAAAGGCATTCCAAAGTTGTCAAGTTATCATCTCCAGTACTTTCAGTTGGAAAATTCAAAGGATAGCTCAGATCTAAAGTAAAATAATTCATATTGACTTTTCTTTTGTCTTGTGTAATTGGTTCGAGTTTATATTTTTACGTTATTTAATGAAAAAAAAAACTTTACCGTTATATGGCTCACCTTTCTGCTCTACAATGTCTCATATTTCAAGCTGTAGCAGTTTTGCTTGTTATGTTTAATATATTTCTTTGTACTTTTTGTAGCTCATGAACTACTCAGAGTTTCGTGTGATGACCACTGCTCTTGAAAAGTACTACAAAGATGTTAAAATTGCAATTTTGACTGGACAGAGATCTGCCAAAGACCTAGATTTGAGGTAGAGATACAGGTCCTAAAATGAAGGATTGTTGTTGTGCAATGTTGTTTAAAATTTTCTCACAACAATAGTTAAATTTTATAATTAAAACTAATATTACAGCAAGCACTCTTGCTGGTCCCAGCATTCATCACTAACTTGGGTGTACTGTGCAGTTTCCTGTTCCTACCACATTTTTTCTAGCCTCCTATTTTCATCAATGTTTCTGGTATGGGGTTCACACATGCCCTTTTTTTTTCTGTTTTTAAAAATATAAGAAGTTAACTAAAGTTAACTGAGTGATTCAGTGTAATAAATTCATCACAGCCTACTGCATTTATACTTCTTATTAAAGCATGATGATATTTTGCAGACCATATTTATATGATGAAGGAGACCCTTATGATAAACCCTTTTATGGAACTCTTTTGAAGATGTTATCTGAAGTTGCAACGTAAGTTATTTGCAATCTACAGGCATTTTTTTAGGGTGTAATAAATATTATAGTCTTTAATCTGGTGATTGAAAGTTGAAAATCATGTTGCATATTCGTTTTGCTGACAACCACACCTCAGGTAGCCTGCAAACACATATGTATTTCTGGTTGTCCCTTCTCTCCACCCAAAAAGTAATGTCTGCTGCTACCCAAGCCACCAAATGATTTCTGTGACAAACAAAACATTCCAGGCGCCAATCCATACTCTGTCTGGTTTCCACCGTTTTACGTCTGTTCTCAGGCCAAAAAAATACACCTGCATAGAGCCCATTTAGAGAAACACATTCTGAAGTGGTAACCTTAAGCTTCATTTCTTCAGAGTAGATTCAATGTGTTGGGTGTGAGCACCAATATCTCTCTTCAGTGCACACCATGAAGACTTTCCTTATTGTCAATGTTGGGGGGCTGGGATGGCATATTCTTTGGAAGAGATTGGCTCCCCCTGTGTGTGAATCCCGAGCAGTACATGAGTTGAGTTTGTCGTGGATTTTCACCCTTGTTCTTAATTAGCAGTTTTTCTCCTGATACTCCATTTTTTTCCCTCTCCTCAAAAATCCATGTAAATCCCTCGAGCCACTTTGTGGATAAACTACTGCTAAAATCCTGTATATTTTATTTCATTTTATTTTCTTGGTATAGGCAACCTCGGCAAGTTCAGAAATTAAATATGTTCATTTACTTTAATACAAAATAACTATAATATATTTTAGTGACTCTGTTTTAGTTTTCAAAACTTTTGACCAGCACACTTTCTGAACATGAACATGCCTGCACATTTCTTCCATCAAGGAATGATTCGTTTAATCAACAATGAGAACACCAATTGTCAGACTGAGTTCTAAAACTTGCATTCTCAAATATCTTTCTGCCTTCCTTGAAAAAATGATGACAAAACTCAAAGGACCCACATGTACGTAGGGTAAATGTACACGTGGGCCAATGTGTGGAATAAACACTGAGTAGGTAATTTATATCATTTACTCTAAGAATTAAGTGTTCTTTAATGTACACCTGTAGTAAAATGTACCTTTACTTTTTTCTTGCCTAATCAAGGTCAAAGTACTTTGATAAACAGCATGAGGATTTGATGAAGATTTATAATTGGTACAGAGCTAACAAAAAGCTTATCACATCTCCACCCGTAAGTTTAAATTAATTATTTTAATAATTTAATTGCACATAGTTCAGAACAAACATCCCTGAGGGAACTTATCTTGACTTCCTGGTGGTAAGACAGTCAAACCTCCACTAACGGGCACCACTCCACAATGGCCACCTGTCTACAATGGCCAGTGTTTTGGAAGCAAGGGTGGCGTAGTGGTGAAGTGCTCGCCTCCCACCAATGTGGCCCATGTTCGAATCCTGGTGTCGACGCCATATGTGGGTTGAGTTTGTTGTTGGTTCTCTCCTTTGCTCCAAGAGGTTTTTCTCTGGGTACTACGGTTTTCCCCTCTCCTTAAAAACCAACACTTTAAAATTCTAATTCAATCTGAACGCACGGACACGTTTCAATGAGTTTTTATGAACTCCTTAGTGCTCTGTGGGTGAACAAATTACAATTTACAATTTACAAGACACTGTCCACACTTTGACTCTTGTTTAGACCCCGCTACAACGGCAAACTCTCCACATACAATGACCACTTTCTTCTGTCCTCAAGGTGGCCATTGTAGCTAGATTCAACTGTGAGTGAAACTTGTACATTTGGTAAATTGCTTTTAACCAGGATGGAAAATAAATGTTGGAACGATATAGGTAGCAAGTCTACTACTGATTTGTCCTAGTAAGGCTCTACAGTATGTAGATTAATATACCCAAGGGCAATAACTTGTTTTCTGTATCACTGTAACATGCCATACATACATGCAAAAATCATTAATCTGGACGGTCATTGGCGGGTCTAAAATACAGGTCACTTTTCTACAGGTCAAAGTACAGGTCATCATGATATAGATAAATGAACAGCATAAAGTGTCGCCTAGCCCTAATCTCTTAACATTATCTCTATTAGATCGAGGGGAATCTGTGTGGTTTGGTAATTTATCGATGGGGCAGTGACATGTACTCTTGACCCGTGGAATGTGACCTGTATCTTAAAACCGGCAAGCTACAACTGACAGGAGTTACCTCTGAAAGTTCTCTTTTTCATTCATTTGTCAGAAAATTCCAATCCCTAATGCTGAGAAGAAAGAAGGGAATTCTGATGGTTCAGATAGCTTTGATGAGGATGAAGAAGAGGAGGAATTAAAGGAATTGACAAAAGTTCCTAAGCTTCACTTGCGACCTAAAACAGCACCTGCAGTTGAGGGGCGCAAAGGAGTGCGATATGTGACCTGGAATGAAGCACAACGTCAGCAAAATGGACCCAAAAGGCCACACTCAGCTGCGAAGTCATTTAGGAATCTAAGGGGTTCCTGGAGTGAGGTAATTTAGTTTTAGAATCTAAGAGCTGGAGACCTAAATTTGACAAAAAAATAATGATGTTTACCACATGATACCTAATGGCATTTTGAATTCTTGGGGGATCCTGCATCCGGACAATGTACATGTATATACCTGCCAACTTTTTCCAAGATATGAGCGTGAGATTTTTATCCTGGGAGTGCTGGGATTTTTGAAGACGACACAATCATTTCCGAAGATTCCCGAAGAAGTCCGAAGACTTCCGAAGACTTCTGAAGTCTGCCGAAGGCGAAGTTATCGAGACCCAGTCTTAGGAAGCGTATAAACTCGAGCTCGCTCCCAGTGCTTTTCACTTCAAAAATCAGAGATCACGAGAAAGGTATTGTCATTTATTCATTTTACACATGGTTTTCGTTCCTTAAATGGGTCTGAGTTAACATATTAATTTTTGGAAATTGTTTTTGGAAAAGACGACAGCAACTCACATTTTTCAATCAGGCGTGAGAAATTGGCCCGCAAGCGTGAGCCGGCGTGAGATCGAAGTTTTCAACCCGCAGGCGTGAGACTCACGCCTAAGGCATGAGAGTTGGCAGGTATACATGTAAATTGATTTGTGTCAATATAACACCGTTAAAATTCATTCAATATTTTATTTGAATATACTGGCCATCTTAATTTTAACTCATAGACAAAGAGCTGTTTTCCATGACAATGCAATAAGAATGTGAAAGCATGTGGAAAGTGTAATAATAATACTGATTGATGCTACAGTTGACTGACATGTAATCCTACCCCCTGGAATGTGCTATATATATCAACCACATTCCGTACCAAGAACAGAGATCAATAAACCTTCGAGCCAGTCAACCCTTGTTATGTTTCTTAGTTAAAACCCTGAACCCGTTCATCTAAGCAAAGCTTATTACATGGTGTCAGAAGTGGCCAATCATGGAACACATGAAGCCTATCGGACCTCTACGAATGGACGGCAACGTCGCAGAAAACTGGCGAAAATGGAAACAGAGGTGGGTCCTCTATGCGAAAGCGAGTGGAGTAGACTCAAAAGACGAAGAAACACAGTGTGCAGTCTTACTACACACCATAGGAGAAGAGGCACTCGAAGTATACGACACTTTTACATTTACAGAAGCCGAGGAGAATAAGATAGAACCTCTCGTGGCAAAGCTAGAGGCGTACTGTGCCCCAAAGAAGAACGTCACGTACGAACGCTATCTTTTCTTCTCGTGCACGCAAAACGGACGGCCTATCGACGCCTTCGTTACCGATCTCCGCACAAAAGCCAAAACCTGCGAGTTTGGAACACTCAACGATAGTCTAATAAAGGACAGAATCGTGTGTGGAATCGACAGCCAGAGTGTAAGGGAGCGACTCTTACGCAACAACGAGCTCACTCTAGAAGTAGCCATAAATACCGTACGAGCCGCAGAGACGAGTAAAACTCAAATGGAGTCCCTTAACAGCTTGGAAGCAGCAGCCGTAAACTTCGTCACAAAGAACCAAAAACAGCCACCAAGATATCAGCCTATGAAGAAAAGGCAGCAGAAACAACAGCACCAGCAAATAAAACCGTGTGGTCGTTGTGGTTACATCCACAAGCCAAAACAATGCAGGGCGTTTGGACAAACATGTCACAAATGTCAAGGGAGAGATCACTTCGCCCATATGTGCCGCACAAAAGGCGCAAATACTGGCCACAAAACACTCAATGAAGTCGAACAGCAGTCAGACACTGACTCAGATGAGGATCTATTCCTTGGAGAATTAGATTCGTCACAAAATGACAAAAACGAACTGTTCACGAAATTAACCGTGAATGAGGAAGAGATCAGCTTCAAAATTGATACAGGCGCACAGTGCAATGTCATTCCCGAACACGCCTATGAAAAACTGAGCAAGAAGCCAAGCCTACAGCCTACTAAAGTTAAGATAACTGCATATGGTGGGGTACGTGTGCCGATCAAAGGAACATGCACAATGACAATCAAGAAAAACAGCAAAAACCTTGATGCCAAATTCTTTATTGTCGCCGTTGAAAAGGCTCAACCCTTAATTGGCCTTCAAACTTGCCGAGATCTGGAACTGATAAACATTAACAACGATGTTAATGAAGTCAAAACAAGTGGAACAGAAATTCTCGACGAATTTAAAGATGTCTTCACCGGACTTGGTTTAGTCAACGGAGAATTTCACATCGAGCTTCGAGAAGACGCAAGGCCTACAATCCAACCGTCACGGAAAATTCCTCTGAGCCTGATGCCGAAACTACAGAAAACACTAGAGAAGCTGACAGAAATGGAAGTAATCAGCAAAGTTGAAAAAGCAACTGACTGGGTCAACAGCCTAGTCATCGTGGAAAAAAAAGACGGCTCATTGAGACTTTGTTTAGATCCGAAAGATTTGAACAGAGCAATCAAGCGTGAACATTATAAGCCGCCGACAGCCGAAACCATTTCTAGTAAGCTCAATGGGAAGCGTGTTTTTACGGTAATTGACATGAGTAACTGCTACTGGCACAAAAAGTTGGATGAAGAATCATCCTATTTGTGCACATTCAACACGCCTTTCGGCAGATACAAGTTTAACAGAATGCCGTTTGGTATCTGTGTAGCGAGTGACGTCGCTCAGAGAATGGTGGATGAAAACTTCAGCGACATTCCAGGAGTTCTCGCAGTGCACGATGACATTATCATCGCCGGAAAGGACACTGCGGAACACGACCTAGCTCTCAAACAAGCGCTGGAACGCGCAAGATCACGCAACATAAAGTTTAACCGCAGCAAAGTACAGCTACGCGTCAACCAAGTGAAGTATCTTGGTGATATCGTGACCGCCGATGGATTCAAGCCAGATCCCGAGAAGATAAAAGCAATTGTGGAAATGCCAGAACCACAATGTAAGCAAGATTTGCAACGCCTACTTGGCATGGTCAACTATCTGTCGCAGTACATACCAAACATGTCAGAAATCACAGCCCCCCTACGCAACTTGTTGAAAAAGAACATGCAATGGGTGTGGTATGACGAACATCGATCCGCGATAGATAAGCTAAAACATGCACTCACGAACACTCCCGTTCTGCAGTATTTCAACCAAGACAAGCCAACTACAATCCAAACCGACGCTTCGCAAAGTGGAATCGGAAGTTGCCTCCTGCAAGAAGGACACCCCGTGATTTACGCGTCAAGATCGCTGACGAATGCCGAACAGAACTATGCTCAAATCGAGAAAGAACTATTGGCTATTGTATTTGCGTGCGAGCGATTTCACCAATTTGTCTACGGCAATGACATAATTGTGCAAAGTGACCACAAACCACTTGAGGCGATAATGAGAAAGCCATTATCTCAGACACCCCCGAGAATTCAACGATTGCTAATCAGGCTTCAAAAGTACAATTTGACAGTTCATTTTGTACCCGGAAAACTGATGTTCATTGCAGACACTCTATCAAGAGCGTACCTAAATGAGACTGTTGAGGGTCCCCAAGACCTCAATGATGACATCGAAGTGATGATCCACAGTTTCATCACCGAAATCCCAGCGAGTCCAGAAAAGTTGACACAGCTGAAAAATGAAACCGCCAAAGATGCAACACTTCAGGCGCTGAAAGCTCAAATACAAAAAGGTTTCCCACCCCATAGAAAAGCCTTGAGACCAATCCTCTCGCCATACTGGATTGTCAGAGATGAGCTAAGTGAAGCCGACGGTCTTCTATTCAAAGGAAGACAGCTTCTCATTCCAAAAGCCATGCAGCACAGCGTCCTGAAATGATACATGAAAGCCATCTTGGAATTGAAAAGTGTAAAGCACGAGCAAGAGCCATTGTTTATTGGCCTGGAATGTCACGCGACATCCATGATACTGTTGTCAAGTGCCCGACATGCTTGACACACAGACACAAGAACCAGAAGGAACCAATGATTCCCCATGCCATACCAGATCGTCCATGGCAAAAGCTCGGATCCGATGTGTTTGAACACAAAGGAAAACCGTACCTAGTAGTGGTGGACTACTACTCCAAGTACATCGAAACTAGCCTAATGCGTGACAAAACCGCGGGAACCATTGTCACGCACATGAAGTCAATCTTCGCTAGACATGGCATCCCTGAAGAGCTCGTATCAGACAACATGCCTTACAACAGTAAAGAGTTCAAACGATTCGCAGACGACTGGGGATTTGAACTGATCACCTCAAGCCCCACATATCCGCAGTCTAATGGCCTCAGTGAGAAAGCAGTACAAACCGTTAAGCGAATACTAAAGAAAGCAAGCGACCCATACATCGGCCTGATGGAGTACAGAAATACTCCAGTGACAGGAATGACATATTCGCCATCCCAGCTTCTCATGAGTCGCACCACCAGAACCAAGATCCCTGTAACACAAGAACTCCTGAAACCAAAGATTGCTACTGAGGTCAAACAACAACTGTTAGCCTGTCAACATCAGCAAGTGCACTATTACAATCAAGGAAGAAAGCCCTTGACAGATCTCAAACCACAGGAAGCTGTCCGTCTACGCCAAGGAAAGACCTGGGTACCTGCCGTAGTAAACGAGAAAGCAGAAACCCCGAGATCCTATTTAGTCACAACTACGACCGGACAACAATATCGCCGGAATCGCAAGGATCTGCTACAAACTGGAGAAAACCCTCCTGTAATATCGGTCCCGCAAGACAACGACTTTAATTACACTACAGAAACTCAGAAAACCTCAGCAACCCCCAACAAAGAACAAGACCCTGTACAACCTCCTGAACAACAGCAACCCAACAACCCAGAATCGACGACACCACCTAGACGCTCCTCGCGAATCACTACTCTTCCCTTTAAATTCAAGGACTATGTCATGAATTTCTAAGAACTGAACACTGAAAATTAGAACATTGAACTTTTGTCATACCGGAAGTGTCATTGTTATTATTCGATTATTTTTTTTTAATGATAGTGTTTGATTTCATTCTCAAAAAGGGAGATGTAATAATAATACTGATTGATGCTACAGTTGACTGACATGTAATCCTACCCCCTGGAATGTGCTATATATATCAACCACATTCCGTACCAAGAACAGAGATCAATAAACCTTCGAGCCAGTCAACCCTTGTTATGTTTCTTAGTTAAAACCCTGAACCCGTTCATCTAAGCAAAGCTTATTACAGAAAGAATGAACAGAACTTCCAGTTCTTAATTTCCCACTCAGTTACTTATCAAGCTTGCTTTTAGATCGGCATACACCATTATCACTGCCATCACATTAAGTCATTTATATCTATTTTTAATAATACAGTCGACTCTCTCTTAACGGACGCCTCTATAAGACGAACACCTCTGTAAAACGGACACCAAGAATTGGTCCCTGCCTTTCTTTACTCCCTTTATTTGACTGTCTATAAGATGGACACCTCTCTAACACGGACACTTAGTGCCAGTCCCAAAGGTGTCCGTCTTAGACAGAGTTGACTGTATTCCAATTTAATTTATTTGATATTCATTTATTATTTTGTGACAAAAAGAAAGTATAATATAATGTGCATACATGATTGAAAAACTGGATTTCGGAGATACTGCAGTGTATACTGATCTTGCGCTGGAGTGTATACAATGAAGTAGCAATCTTTAGTAAAGATATTTCTGGGAGACAGACACTGTTCCAGATCACAGCACCATTGTTTAAGTTTAAAGTGACAATTAATTGTCAAGGTCTGGTGTTTTTAGGATGCACTGACGAGAAGCCTTCATATCAGTGCCTACGGACCACACCCAAGTGATGGAGTGTTTATGGACCAGGATGTTGGATCAGCCGGTTACATCTTTAGACCTGGCACGGCACCACCTGTCATCAGGAATACTAAGGTTGAACATTCTTTTCTATGAAAATTGTTTTTCCTTCAGACCTTCACATTCTAGGAACACTTACAGAAGGGTTTTTTTTTCTTCTGACTGGATTGAATACACTAGATCTTCAAAACTTCCACCAACAAATACTAAATGTTTCAAATAATAGAGCATAAGTTCGCCCCATGTAGGGGAATCTAGGACAGTCCTGGATTGTGGGTTCCACGCTGTAGATTCCGTATTCCAGGTACTGGATTCCAGTATTTGTCAGTAGAACTTGGATTCTGGATTCCAAATGTTGTGGGATTCCGGATTCCTTGAGCCATATTCCGGATTCCATAAGCAAAATCTTCTCAGATTCTGGATTCCACAAGCAAAGATTTCCCAGATTCCGGAAACCGGATCAGTCCCTTACATGGGGCAAGTAAGTTCTAAAATGGATAATAAGGAAATTTAGTATTCCTCCATGACCTCTAGATTGCCAGTTGTAGTTCTCTAGTGCAGGGCTATTTTTTTCTTACATGCTTGTTTATTTGTTCCTTTATTTATTTTTTCATTTATTTGCCACACAAAAGAAAAATACAGTGTAAAATGTAAGATAGGTACTGGTAGATAAAAGCAAAGCGACAAGTAGAACTAAGAGAAACTGTACAGAAAGCTAGTATAAGACATTAGGCCATGCGAGCTATGGGCTGTATTTGTGGAACAACAAGTGGAGAAGATGACGTAGCTATGCATGATACTTGGTATTTAGGGTCATTTAGGTCTGTCCAACAGGCCCAAAATGATATCAATGTGAGATACAGGTGCAGACGACCCAGTCTCTGTAGCATGAGGCTCCTTAGAGTACTGCTGCTATAACGTTTAATTATCTGCAGCATGTTGCTGATAACTATATATAAACCTGGGTGAAGAGAGACAAAGTATCAGAAGTTCAGGGAGGTAACTGCTCAGCCATTGGGCCTCCTTGTAAGCATGGACAGGTTGTTGAGTATATCCTGTCTGGGTTTTCATTTTATACCCCAATAACTGTATAAAGGTGTCTTTCATGCACTTGCTGATTTAAATTATTTTGTAATCTTGAATTCTGCAGGGAAGAGTAAATACTGACCAGTTGAAGTCATTCATTCTGCGGCCATCTAACAGCAGTTCTGCTCCATTTTCATCACCCATAATATCACCCCTATCATCGCCAAGAGATTCCCCTGTGCCCTCCAGGTTTGTCTTTCAATTTTCAAGGGAGCTTAAGCAGCAGCGACGGCGACGGCAACGAGGACGTCAAAAAAAGCAATAGGTTTATGAGTAAAACAACAACTTTGCACATGCATCACGCTTTCTTCTACATTTCTTTGCCTTCACTTCACGACTACAACGTGAAATTCCCTCATGGGACGTTTTATGTAGGACTTAAACACATCACGACAAATTTCTCTTTCTCTTCTAAACTTAAGTGCGTCCCCAATAAATCAACTACAGGGAAATTCACCAGCATTTGATATTTTCAGCAAATTGGAATAAACGCGACAAAGTTTGAAAAAATGCGAAATTATTTTTAAAGTGATGTTTTCGCTTCCGTCGCCGTCGTCGTAGCTGTAGCGCCCTATTCTATCAGTATCCATTTTTAATTGAAAATGGAGATTTTTTCTCCTGCTTTGGCTTATCGTCCACACGTTGTTAACGGTCACTGAAAAGGCTTTTTTTCAAAAACGCTCTCCAGAGTGGAGATTATTCAATATTGAAAACGCGGGCTTATCGTTTTCCGTGGACGCACGAAAACGGAGGTTTTCTAATACGATGATGTCATACATCATACAGCGCATGCCCTGTAAGGGATGGTGTTATCGTACTTAGTCCTTTCCATCGTTTTAGCGTTTTGTGTGGACGGAAACGGAGAAAAAATCTCCGTGTCAAAAAATTTGGGGATACTTGTGGACGAGGCCTGATTTCAAGTCATTTGACACACTTCTTGAAAATACACACATGTTCATTGCTACAAGCAAGGCTTGTGCAGTGATGAGACCACTTGCCACCCACTAATATGGCCTGGGTGCGAATCCCAGAGGTTGGGCCATGTGTCGGTAGAGTTTGTTGTTCATCCTTTTTCTCAATTGTGGCATAGTTATTAGAGGAGGCAGGTTATGAAGGGCAGCAAACATCAAAGATGCTGCAGTTTGTGTTGGAAGCTCCCTGAAGTTGCACAAACCTTTGTTTTCTGTTCACAAATTGTGACCGAATAAATTAATGCGGCGATTTTATTGGTCAATAAGTTCAAAATGATTGGAATGCTATTGAACGTTGTGCACCGTTAGGTCCACAAAAATATATAACAAAAGATTCTGGCGGGCTTCATAACCATTCCACTCTGTTAACTATGGTTTTGGCTCTAGGAAGAAGCATTTGGCATCCAGAAAGTTGCTCAGCCGTCTGACAAATGTTGTCAGAATAGTTACGACCTCAACTTGGCGTCCCTTCTACCTATTTTCAGTAGGCGATAAGTTACGTCTTTTAAGTGTCTCATAGTTTCTTTCTGTTGTTGTTGTTGTTTTTGGCTCTCAGTAGGACAAAGTCACCCTTGTCAGCGCACTTTGCTCCTGACATTGTAAAAGAACCATCTGTGAAGTTGACTGCAAGGGTCAGTAAGGACAAAATTGTTCATCATGAAACCATAGAGGAGAAGGAAATGAATGATGAAGATAATAGCCATGGTAAACAGGAGAAAAGCCAGTCAGCAGTAAACGGTACAGAAGCGACAAGCAAACCGACTCCTTATAACCTCCCAAATGGTGCCTCGCCGTCACAACTGGAGGGGATTATTCAACATCAGAAGAAAGAGGAACAGCTTCTAGAAGAACAACATGAATTGTTACAGAAAAAATTGCTGCACGATTATGATCATTACATTCGAGATCTGGGCTCAGCGCAGGAGAAGAAAGTCGATTTAGAAATGGTCAATGGAGACGTAGCGTTAAAGGACAATAGGAAACCTGTGCAACCTTCTCAGGACAGTAAGAAGACTGTGCAACCCGCTCCCGTTGGGACTTACGATCTCTTTTCACCCGAAGTCATTCCAAGTTATTCCATCATGTACTCTGGATCAAATAATGGTTAGTTTATTAGCTCATGCATCTGGCTTTAGGTTCAAGTAGTCAGTCAACAAACGTTAGATTTAATTTTGTTTAAGATATTTGTGGTGCTACAAAAAAAGAACGCTCTAAACCTGTTTCGGAGCACCAAAGTATTGTCGCTAATATCATTATTGCTAAAAATCGTGTAGAAACAGACTAGATGACGAAATTGTAACTTTAGTTTGCATGATTTTCTTCCGTTGATCTATTCTAAACGGATCAAAGACAAGAAATATTTTGGAAGGTTTTATTTTTTCGCCTTAATTTTTTGCTCGCCTCTTTTTCTTTTGCTTTACTGTTACATAACGTTATCACCTTTACTTGTTCGCGTTAATGTAGATTGTTGATTGAGACATGAATTCACTGATGGGCAAATTTAACTTCCAAGTCGAAAATAACTAAAAGAAAGAAAGATTTTACTTCTGCCTCCTCCCCTCCCCTCCCCTCTTTAAAAAGTTGTTTGCAGTGAGGAGTGTATGTGATTTTCCTTACGGTCTGGCTGAACCATCACGGTCCCAGTAGTTTTCCTCATATTAGGTTTACATTAAGGGGCATTTTGGTAGTTTTTTGGGGGGGAAATGGTCGGGGTTGATTATGGGAGGAAATAAATTAGGGTAGAAAAGGTATATACACATAAAGCAGTTATTCTACTAATGAGCTCAGAGGCATCTTGTTTTGTTGGTGGACTATCTAGTATTTGTCTACTAATAATTTCCTTCGTATTGTAATTTTCAACCACCCTCAAATCCAATATTTTCAGAATTTCCTAAATTTTTAACCCCTCCCCCCAATGTATGTTAATTCATTAAAAACATTTAAAAGATCATCCAAAAATTCGTAAACATGTATTGAACAAATGATTACGGGAAGCCATTATTTTGATTGATTGAAATCTTAGCTACATTTGGAGGTAAAAGGGCAGAAATAAGCAAAAAACCAGACTTTTGACGAGAATCCCCCTGAAGTCGTACTAACATTCTCTTATCAGCTTGATCAGCTTGTTATAGTGAGCCATAGTAACGAAGACTCACTGGGGAAGAATTTTACTACTCTTAAGAAGCTTCTATTGTTAGTAGTAAGACGGTAATAACTCTTTCTGTCTGCGTTTGTTGTACAAGAAAATGGTATATTGATCAATCAGTCAACCAAATGTCTTTATTTAATCTTAAGATAACATACAAATCTTATGTTACAAGCTGGTCATATATTAAAAAGTCAAATACATTAGGTATAAAAGTTGAAATTGAAAACTATACACACAAATGCTGGGATAAAGGTAATACAACATTATAACTAGCAATAATTAGTTTATTTTTAACTCACATGGTCCGACTCATATGTATAACGAGGCGTTTGTATTTCTGCTGTCTTAAATTTCTTTACAGCAAATGGCCACAACAGGAGTTTATCAGAGAATGGTAATCATAGATTAAACACGAATGGAGCCAGGCCTCATAACAGACACGCTACAGTACCACATAACAAGTAAGATATTGTAATTTGAAATAAATCTTCAAATTTTGAGTCCGTAAGGATAGTACAGGTAACTATAACAACAGATTTCCTCTGAAGCCATACTTATTTTCATCCTAATTCAAAATGAATCTGAATCAGGATGAAAAATTATAATCTTCATCCTAATACTCTGAATTGCAAGCTGGCTGTAACCGTGCCTTAAGGCCAGGCCTGTTGCACGTGTCGAGCTTCATATGTGACGAACCCAACGAGAATGAGCGAGAATTGTAAAGAGGCGAGGACTTCTCTTTCCAACAATGTTATCATAGTTGTTACGTGTTATTTACTTTACAGCCGACAGGAGGTGATCAAAGTTGACGCTGTTCTCGGTCTAGTCACACCTATTGGTGCACAAATGGAATACGACAGGGAAAGGGTGAGTTATTTTCTCGATTTTTTCTCATAAGGGTTTCTCTTCAGTCTCTCAAATTGAGTGTATCGAGTCTGGTTATGTCATATCAATTGGTCTCTAGATAATCGACAGTTTCAGCTTGCGCGATTCCAGCCGTATGTTAATGTTGTATGGCCTCGGGATTTTTGTGGCATGCACGTTTTAAGTCATCGCAAGCTTATGTATTCACACTAGCCCGTGAAAGCAGCCGTTCCTCCTCGCTCCTCGCCGCTAGGGACATTTTGCTAGGCTAGAATTCACACTTGTTATGTCTTCTTTGTAGATGAATAGTCAAAAGGTAGTGTCAGGCCAAAGGCAACGCGGGACAGTCTGGGTCCCAACAAGCATGACCTCAAAATCTTCTGACTCCACCCCTGTCAGTGAAGAACTAGCATCTACACCAGTACCCTCAGAGAAGCTTTCTGAAAAGGACAATGCCTCTCATAAGACTCCTTCGATCTCTAGTGACCAAGGAATCAGCCCAGAACAGGAACATTCTGCTTCCAGGTTTGTGCCTGAAGGAAAGTTTTCCGAACAACCCTCCACAACTATTCAACGATGAATGCGTTATTCCAGGAAGACTACGCACGCATAGAGAAACGTGTAACGTCACGTTACCTTGGTAGCAAAATTTTTGGAGCTTTTTCTAGACAGAGACGGTCGTTTGCATTGTCAAACGTGTTGTAACTTAGAAATCCAAGGACGAAATTATGAAACAACGCGAGCATTGAACATGAACATTCCAGTCTTGTTTTATTCCTAGTTCTCACCCACTGCGCAAGCGCATCCATGTACACGTAACCCGACTATGACGTAACTTAGTACAATGTAACACAACAATAACAAAACAAAGTCACGATATAACAAAACGATGGAAGATAAGTTTGGGCTACCGTTTTGTTCCTGAGTGCATTCATACACGGGAAAGTCGTACATGTCAGTTTTTTTTTTTTCGTTTTTTTCTTTCGTTTTTGCAGGACCACGGTTTGTTGAGATCTAGAAATTTTGATTGGGACGTGAGGTAACGACGTCTCTTCTCCGTTAGGCGCCAAGATGAACTTAGTTTTGATTCGAATCCTGTGACTCTTACCATTTTCAAACCGTTAACTTGAATGGCCTTTCTGGTTCCGAACAATCGGTCGGAAAAGTGCTCTTAAAAGATCTTTGAGTGGCTCAGTAAGTCGAGTTAAGGTAGTAACTACATTGGCTGCAATCAAGAAAAACGGATTTTAACATTTGATCTCAGTTGAGTATTTAAAGTGCTTTGATCCTTTTTTTCCCTAGTGATTGACTCACGTTATTACGTTAGAAAAGAAATAAAAATCAAAAGCGCAAGGATTTAAGATACCGATGAAGTCGCCCCACCTTTGAACTAATCTCGGGCCGCCCGGTTTATAAGCAATTTTCTTTTGTCACGCCACGACTAACATTTCCCTCTTTCGAATTAAAAATGCCAAAGTGCTTTTTTTTTCTTTATGTTTATTTCTCGTTTTTGGCAATTGTCTCGTTGAGATCGGTTTTCTCCGTTTCCAGAACTTGGCGATGTTTTAGTTTTTCATCCTAAAGTACCGTGATCTGTTTTATTCGGGTTATTTAATAGTTAACAAAATGAAAAATGTAATGATTGCTCCCCTTAGCTCTGTAAGTTGTTTTTAATACACTATCGATGCGCAATTTTTTTAATTTTGCCGTACGTAAAATTGGCAGAAACAAACAAGAAACAAAGGCATCAAGAGAAAAAAAACAACTGAAATTTCTCAAACGGAATCTGTCTTGACAAACGTAAGTTTTGTTAGTAATTACATAAACTGAATTAGTAAACAACAATGACATTGGCAAATGAGGTCGTGAACTGTGACAGCCAAAAAAGCGAGGACATTTTTTGTGAATTGTAAAGCTCAGTCTAGTCAACTTACATGTCTTTCTCGAACAATGTGAAAAGAATTAGATCGTCTCAGGGCTTCCAAGAATAAAGCTTTTACAATATTTCAATTTTAAGTTTACAGTGCAGGTTACGAATAACAAGGAATGTGACGTATGTCACTTTGTTTACTGAGCAAAATTCTATTTCACAATATAAAGCGCTTTGTTTTAGCGCTTATGCATGTTCCAGATTAACACGTTCTTGAAGAAACCATGGAGAACATGCCTGCGTCACTATTAACCGGTATAACGCAAGGAACATTTCTTGGGCTTAATTCCTGCTCAACGCACGTTTCTCGTCCTTCCTCTTGTCCTTGTTTGAGCTTCGAGTCTCGCGACATATCGTCAAGGTATAGCCTTGGTTTTATACTGTTTATCTTTTGAGTGACTTGAGTGAGTTTATAACACCACCAAACATGTGCTATTGCAGCGTTTCTCATCAGCCTGGAGTACCTGCAGTCGGTTCAAAACAAGGCTCTTTCTTGCCAATTATCACTCAAACAAACTTTGGCAGGTTTCTTCGAGGAGAAAGGTACTTGTGAAACGTGCCTTTAATAATACGTAAACTGGCATCGTGTCATTTCTTAAATATATATACCCCGGCGATTTTATAGTTTGACTTAAGTCATATCTCGTCGTTATCAGGGCTGATTTGAAACTGGGACAACCTCTGGATTCTAATCGTCTTTTGTGCGTCTAACCGACAAAACTTTTAGTTGCATTAATTCACACTCTAAGACTAACAATACCGACGAGAGTTAAGAGTACAATTGAACTGAATGCTTTCGAAGAAAGTTCACTTAAATGTTTGTTAGAAGTAGACTTTATATTTGCATTTCTGTTAGCAGCTGTTTTTAGTTTCTAACGGCTCAAACTAAAACGTAAAGTTTAGGTAGTTTTTATTTCTACCACGAAATCATTTTACAATATCCTCTTTTGCATTAAGTTTAATGTATCTTCAGACGGAAGCCATGTTTTTTCATTCTTCTAGCCAGTGCGGCAGGCGAAAAAAGGGGAGGGGGAGGGGGAGAGAGAGAAACACACCCCCTTTTTTTCACTATCCCCTACCCATTTCGACGCCTGTCCTAATTTTTGTTTCCTTTTATTTTATCAGACCTGCATCGCACTCGTTAGATAACAGATCAATGGAACTGAAACTCAAGGAACCGGAGCTCGCCCCTGAAAGAAACCCCAGGGATTACACTGTGCACTTTCCCCAGGACAAATCCCACGACCCGGCTGTCACTAAGAGTTACAAGACTTCGGGGCCTGTTATACCAGACACTATCAGATATCAGTGAGTGTTTTTAAAGTTTTAATACTACGATTAAGGTGTTTCGATACAGTTTTTCAGAGGCCATACCGATATTTGTCAATCGTCTTAAAAGTGGTTTTTTCCTTGTCCAATCGCTATAAAATTTTCACTAGTGACTGGCTGTGGATTGAAATTTGTGAAAATGTAGTTTTAAGTAAAATGGAAACGTCGCTTAAAAAGTGAATTCGCGTTCTTTCAATCACCCTCGCGATTATTCCAACTCGCTTCCTATGGCAGATGCTAGCGAACTCATCCGAAGCCAAATTCCTAAAAACCATATAAAAGTTCAGAAAGAGAAAGAAGATTTCGTCGGACCTTGTTTACTTCCTGCACAAACGTGCAATTATGCATTTTCACATCGTAGTCGTTCAGTGACGTTAAAGAAATGTGCAAAAAAGCGCGGTGCACTTGTAGAGTTGCTGTTTTGCGTATTCAACCTATTGCCCTTTTAACGTTCTTAATGTCGTCGCCGTCGTGGCATCTTAAACTCCCTGCTAAATCAATTAACCCTTGTTTACAACTGCAGTTAGAAAGAAAATCTAAACAGAGTGTCCGTTCATTTTTCCAGATTTAGTCATCCTTATCTTTCAGTTTGAGTTCCCACGGCCCTTGTTCACACTGATGTAAACTGTTAACAACACAACCCATTGATGAAAGTTGGTAATTATTAATTTTTCGTTCTGTTTCTTCCCTCGATAGGTGGACGGATGATGGCTTTGGCCACAGAACGTACCTGAAAAAGCTTAAAAAACAGTAAGTGCTGTTGTTACTTTATAATGTTGTAATTATTGCTCTAATGTCTCTAATGTCAAAACATCATATCGTGGACCGTCTGGACCGCGGATCGTAGAGTGGCTAAAAATTCCCTTAAGTTCTTCTACAGAGGTAACTCACATTATTTTAGATCAGAAAAAAATTTAAGTCTTCAAATTTGAAGAAGATACGATGTTTGAAAACAAAATTATAAGTTACGGTCAAATTCGCGAGCTTTCACGGACGTTTGACTGAAGACAGTTAAACTGGCCCGCCTGTCATACAAGCGTATTTAAAATTGTCCACATTCGTGTATTTGTGCTCTTAAGTTTCGTGTACTCCTTAACTCAGCTTAAAGTATGAGAAATGCCAAGGCTGTTGGGGTTTTCTACAAACAACGCTAATGGCGGTTTAAATACTTAAAGAAAGTCAACTATATGAACGCTTCAAATATAACCGACTTGACGTATGAGGCATTCGTTAGAGGAATGATGGTGTACTGTTTGCATCAGTTTATTGACTGACTCAAATACTTCATCCTAGAACCCCGTCATCCCCCCGTGGTTCAAGAAAGAAACCGCAGATCCAACCCACGTTTCAAGTAACCATGCCAACCGGCATCCGCTCACTGGATAAACGAACCCTGGCCTCCCTGGTAGTTGTCAGACATTTGGGAGATGCGGACAGAAGGAACATGTAAGAAACATCATTAACCAATCAAAATGCTGTAACAGCACTAATTCTTCCCGCCATTTAACGTCCCTTCCGCGTCAGGCCATTTTCCCGCCAAAAATTGTGGTTTGTAAGGTTTTTGCGATAATAGTTTGCACCGTACTTTTTACATCTCTTTATTCCTTTTCTGCCTTTTAGTAAGAGTTTCCTTATTTTTCCAGTCAAATACTACCTGCCTCATTTATCACAACAGTTGTTTTTACGCGGGAGCGCGATAGGCGCGGGAGGAAGAGGGTTTCCATTTCTTCTTACTCCCTCGCGCGATAGGCGCGCGAGGAAGAGGGTTTCCCTTCCTTCTTACTCCCTCGCGCGCCTCGTTACGTGGGTCTCAGTGTAGGGTACATTTTTCCGTGCCATCTTAAATCATTCTCTTGCCATTATATGCTATACTTCTCGCTGCTTCTCCTTTTGCGGCTTTCCTGCTATATTAGCATTCATTAATAACAGCAATTTTCAATTCAACACAATTGATGACTCTCTGTTTTGCGCCATTGTAGAGATCGTATATCAGCACCTCAAGGAGGAAAGCTCATTTCGGGTCCAGTTCATGTCGATAATGTAGCTGATTATAGTTATAACCTGGAGTACATGTCCTTCTGCCAGCCTGTTGGGCCCAGACTGGGTGAGCTCATAATGACTAACCTAAGAGTGGAATAGATAAGGCGATAACTTTCATACACGTATTCATAATGGACGTTTCTGAGAAACTGCCCACCTACCCCTACCCCAAGCCAACATTAACACTTACTTCTCACTTAGGGCAAAGTGTTGGCTTAGGGGAGGGGTATGGCAGTTTTCCAGAAACGTACAACGATCCCATAAGAACACGTTTTTTGTCGCACAATGTTTCCCGCCAAATATCTCTGATTCGACAACAAAGCAAAACCTATGACGTCACAGGGTTACATTCATGGTCACAACTTCCCAATGTTAACTGCTACTTTGTTTTCATAATGAATCTACTACTGTTTTGCCCGATTTTTTGTGCTATATACAGGAAAAACCAACATATAAAAACCTAAAATTTAAGAACCTGTTAAGCTAAAATTTTCATTTTAACCCCCTTTTCGTAAGAACCTATTTGGCCTAAAGTTTTCAATAGGTTCTTATTTTACCAAAAGGAAGGCACAGGTGAAAATACAGCATGAGAACATGCATGCTAGTATTTTGGAAAGATAAATTTACTGTATGGTTATCATCCAAACTGTATTCTAGATAATTATTTAATACACCAATATACTGTATTCCATATTACATATGCCCCGTAGTGATCGCTAGTGCCTCTATCAAATTAAGAACCTACGTAGCCTAAAATCCCACTAAATACCAATTCTATGAGAACCTACTTAGGGTAAGTTGGAAAAATCTAGGTTCTTTACTGTATGACTAGACTACGAGTAGTCCCCCATTTTTCCTCAGGGATAGTAGAGCCTGCGAAACGCGAGCGCGCGTGAAAATCTCCTCCCCGCCGCGTGTCGCCTTTTCTCGCGTGGAGTGATTTTCACGCGCGCTCGCGTTTCGCAGGCTCTACTATCCCTGAGGAAAAATGGGGGACTACTCGTAGTCTACTGTATGACCAATCACTTAACTTTGTTTCCTTCGAATCTTGATGTTTTCGTGACGCGGAGATTCTCGCAGATAAAATTTACTGTTTCCTTCGGAGCGATATTGCCAGGATCTACTTGAGTATAACGTCTAGTTTCTTTTTTATTTTTAGGGCAATGTGAAAACCCGTCGACAGTAAACTGGTATTTGCAAGGAGAACATGGACTATACCGAGAGTCATCTAAAAGCCAAGCGGAAACCAGGTACCACGTGGTGATATGACTTTCCCTTTATCCTGCTACTCGCGAATACTTGCGTAGATTTCTGCTTTATTAGCGTAGTGCTTCTCACACTCTGATCATGTTATAAAGATAAAAGCCCTGAATACTGAAAAAGCAAGGTAGTTCGCGGAAGCATAAAGGTGTGATACGCTTGCAGGTAGGGTTGTTTGCTCCCGTCCGTTGATACCGGAAAAAACGATACCGTCGCCATCTTTTTTTCCCAAGTACCCTTCTAAAATGCCGTCTTGCTGAGTATTATCATCTTCCCTACTGCAAGGACAAGATCGCTAAGCCATTTGGGCGTAAAAGTGCTGCCAGAGCTTAATAGTTTGCGAAATTGCAATTTACTGAGGTTGCGTTCGATTGGGAAATCCGCTGGATTTGGATTTTGAATTCCGGATTTCAGATTTGAAATCGAGCGTCATATCCGAAAGCGGATTTCAACACTGAGAAATCTCTTCTTGGATATCCTTTCTTTCTGTTTTTTTGGGGGAAATTCGAAAAACCATTTTTAAGACTGTTCTCAAGGACAGTGGTCTTGAACGTGCACGCATGATTAGCAGGAAAAAAGACCACTGTTCACGGGAAACGTTTTGCAAATCCGTTTTCGTATTTTCCCATTCAAACGGTAAATAAAGAAATCCACGAAATCCAGATTTGAAAGTTTTAAGTTGGAATCCACATTGAGGACGGATTTCTTGGAGGTGAAATCCGTTTTCGGATTTCGCGTTCGATTGTAAAATCCCAAGTCTGGATTTCAAAATGTAAATCAGATTTCCCAATCGAACGCAACCTGATTCAGAAAGATTTTCTTGATTTTGTGATCCGCTTTTTTTTAAATTTTTATTCAATCACACTGGTATGAATTACAGAAAGTAGCAGAAAACACAACGCACGCATTACACATGAAATTACGGTGGCCCAGAAGGGTCACACATGCAAATTAAAAATGTTGCTGCAAACTAAAAATTTTACCTGTAGATTAAAAATGTTGCTGCAAATTAAAAATTGTACATGCAAACTAAAAATATTACAAACGTGAAACATGAATGGGCCGACGGCTGTAAGGCCAGGTCGCACGGCTCGGACCAGGTCCTCATCACTCATACTGCGCGCGTAGGACTTTTCATTTTTAATTTGCATCGATATGTTTTCTATTTTCAATTTGCAGCACAATTTTTAGTTTGCATGTACAAGTTTTAATTTGCAGGTAAAATTTTTAGTTTTCAGCAACATTTTTAATTTGCATGTGTGACCCTTCTGGGCCACCGTAGGAAATATTCTAATAACATCACACAATCCACAAAATGTTCATTTTTTTATCGGCTTAGTGACGATTCCAAGTCTCGCCGCACCGATGTACGGATTCCGAGGGATAACTCACTCATGGTGGAAGGACATCATTTCGGTGCTGATGAACACAGGGAAGAACAGAGAGTACCCTGGGAAAAGAAAGAGTTATCGTCCCCGTCCACGATCAGCTTAGACAGCGGTAACGAAAGTCTAGTCATTAAAACAAAAGGTGTGCTAACATTCAGAGATTTTTGTTTGTAAGGACAGTTAGTTTCTTTTTCGTACCGAAAACCAAATCTTATCACGGTATTTTAAGATATTTCGGCACAAATGCTTTCATAAGAACCAATTAAGCAACGTCACAGAAAAGCACTGCTCGAATACGTTTATTGTAATGGTCATACCTAAGGATTTCATCGACTGAGTCAAAAGTTAGAACCCGTTTTCAACGGAGAAATTAACCGTCATACAAAAGAAAGCTGTGCAAAAGCTTTCATTTTAGGGGCCACACTCTGGTTCTGGTTCTCTGGTTCGCTGGCTTGGTTCTTTTACCGCCGGCACGCACTCGCGAAAAAGTAGAAAGACCGCCTACCAACTACTCTGTTTTTTCCAGATACGCTACGCCCCTCGTCACCCGCTCGTCCGTCCTCGCCGGCCTCGTCACGTAAAGTGATTCCAATCCCGACAGCCGGTCGTTCGTCCAGACCCTCGTCAGCAAGGAGTGTCTGTAGCTCTCGTAACGCAGACGTTACGCCCAACTTCACAGTGAAAAACTTCAAGCATTTCTGTTGGGATGACGAGGTAATTTTCTTTAAGCTTTTTAGCTTCGTGTTCAAATATGTGGGTGTGACACGAATTCTTTACATGAAAAGTTTTTTTTTTGTATATGTTGGCCGCGTCGTCTGTTCACGGACCTTTTTGGAGATCGTCAGGCGCTCCTTCGATTGATTTGACTGATTGATTGATTGAATAGTTATGCTCCTTTTTCTCGTAGTATTTATTACAAGAGGATTATATGAGGCAGCGAGAAGTTTGGGCAGCGGTTAACATACAGAGGTGAGTGTTTTAAGTGAAAGACTTAACATGAAAACCGCTATAGTTTCAACCAGAAATTCGTGTTTACAAATCGTACTTTACTTTCGCCGCGATTGATTTCGAGCAAGAGACCAGAGGATTGGGGATCAGTTAGGATACTTCAAGTTCCTTGGTTTTCTGACTGGTTCATTGCATTATCTGTGTGCGCTGTTATGATTAGTTTTACGGCAATAACAACAATACCCGCTGAAAGGCAAGTGAGTGCTTCCGTTTTTGGAAAACCGGAAATTCTGGTTGAAAAATCAAATGGTTTGCGCCGCTCCGTTTAGGAAGCTAAACTACATACGGGCTGTGATGTGAGGCGATGCAATTTTTATACTCTTCTAAGTCTGTTCAACTGATTTGGATATAC